AAAGAAATGGCAATAAACCTAATTCAAACCGGGACACAAGGTAAAATCAACGAATAAGAGAATTGAACAACTTGGTGAGCCTGTGGCGTGTGCAGAAAAAAAAGAGTGATGCTTCGATTGTCTTCTTGGAAACGTTAGGAGAGAAATGATATGAATAGACCCTTCCTCTATGGCTAACGAAGGCGATATTTTGTTAACATTTGAGCCTTCTCCCTCCCTTTCCTCAATAAAGTCGCATTACCATCGCATGAGCTAAAAGCTACCTTCTAACTAGAAGCTAACTAAAAACTAAGCTAAAAGCTAACTGCTGAAGAACTATCTTGATTTTGTGACATCGTGTCTACTACTCATCACCCCTTTTCACCACTGATTCCTCTGTTATACGGAATCGAGAAACCGTATCCGAATCAGATTTAGTTGAACATCACCTTCAGACGGCTTCCTTGCTGAGTGAGAAGATACGGTACAAGAAGGGTTAGTCCACCGTCGTCGCTGAGCCACCAAACATCAATGATTGGTTTCTTGTTCAAACGTTTATCAGAGGAAGCGGATGAGATGGACTCTTCACTCGTCGAATACGATCCTAAAAAGTAACATTTGGCAGTACGGAGAAGTGGCTGAACCCAGCGCTGCAAGGCATTCCTACGTACGTACGTTGTTTGATATTGAAAGGATTATTTGCTTTACTTCTGAGAATCGCCACACCCATATTATTGTAGAAGGCTTGCCTAAATTGGAGAATTTTCTACAAATCGAAACAGTCGTCACGAAATACGCTCACAACTCTTTCCTGAGAAAAAAACCGCTTTCGAAATGGAAACTCAGAAAACGTTTATCATTTTCTGGAATTTCCAGAGAAACGTCTACAAAGTAGTTGTAGTACAACCCTTTCGTTAGTTTTTTTTTCCACGAAATTCGTGTGCAGTTGTAACAGCTCACTTTTTCTGCATTGAAACTAAAACTACGATGTCAGGGCTGAATGTACGGAGTGGGGGACAGGGGAATGAGGAGGGGTGCGAACACTAACGATTCTGCCGCGCACGGCTCCTCATATTTAATCTTCCCTGGGTCCACAGAGTGTGAACTGCTACCATCTGAGCCACTGTGGCGTCGTTCCCAGCGCTAGTGGTACGCATGGCGCAGCTGGAAGCATTCTATAAATATTTCTAGCTCGGAAGTTTGCCCTAAGTCCTCGATGCTTCCTTTTTTCGGCCCCAAGAACGTCATCCTTCCCTCTGTTTCCCCTTAGCATAAGAGAGCAGCTACCGTTGGGGGGGGGAGAGCCATGTCATCTGAAGTTTAAACTCTTGAAAAGGGTGTGTCAGCGCAAGGTGGAGCTGGATAACGCATGAGAGATCGCACCTTCCCTCAGCCTCCATCCCTTCGAGGATTATGAAGAAAGTTCAGGTTACGAGGCCCAATTAGACACAGCATGCTTCGCTGCCGAGTTTCTAGCTAGTGTTCTGCAGAAGTTGAAGGATTGCTGCACCCGCGCACCTCACGTGAATTCGGTTCTTTAGTTTATCGAGCAACACGTACTTGATATAATACCCGCATAATAGCATGTCCTTGGCGACAACATGACAGCCTGTTTCGATCTTGCTACTCGTATTCACCATGAAACATAGCAGATCAACGATACTTGGCGACAATCCACCCACAATCCTGCAAACTGCTGGAAATCTGACTGCTTATGGTGCGGGCCAGAGGAGATTCACTATCACCGTATTAATCGCGCCCAAAAATTGGTTCGGCCGGCCGCCGACGACGTGCGGAACTCATCTACCGTGGTGCCCCAACTGTGCGCACCTTGGCAATCGGACTTTATTAACACCACTCTTCGCCCGTGTCGGACCAACAACCTCACTAAAATTCAGAAAAAGTATTACAAAACTGCAGCGCACCAAAAACTGCAAGTTATTTCCCTTCATGGCCGTATAATCTTGCTTTAACGCCTCTGGCCTGACCAAATCTGTTCACCTGTAATCCGCTATGGGCCACTACCGCATCCAGTGACGGTGCGACGACACGACCTTACAAATTCCTTTGATATGTTGCCTTTGTAGTACTGCCTGCGACATTTCTTCAATACGACGGGCTGTAGCCAGCTGCTTGCTAGGCTCAGCGGAGCTCTATAATACTTGCAAGGTAGAATCCCGCGTTTGAGTCACATATCCTAAAACAATGACTTACCGCTTCATGTACAACGTTTCCGCACACTAACAAACTTGTTCCACGAGTAATGCTGTAAGCCAGCTGGAGTAGGGACGGTCTCTCGTGAGGTGCTCCACTCAACACCAGAACCTGCGTGTCACATATAATAGCCAAAAATCTTGCTCAGCACGAAAGAATGAGTTTTGGAATAATTTGAAACATAAACGAATGCAACTCAGTGCTGCGGTCTGAACACTGAGTTGGGTAATTCACTCCGGTGGTCCAACTCTGTGCAGACCCGCGCCACGAGCATGTACTGAACAGAGACGCAGAGACACTTAGCGCGTGGGTATGGAGCAAGCAGCGAAGCCCCATGGCTGCACGCATAGAGGCGCAACATTAAAAAAAAGAAAACCAAGCGTTAGTCGTGCGTTCATCTTCGTTGGTTCCTGGTGCGGGGTGTCCCTTTCGACCACAAGTTCAAAGCTAGTCACGAGTTTTTGAGCGACGGTGGTGGCGCACCCTGGGCGAACCTGCTTTTCTTCACACAGAGGAAATAATCTACCCTCTGAAATAGTTGTGGAATATGCCTCTAAAAAACTAAGGTTCGCAATGACAGTACAGCTCTGAGAGCTCCGTCCATCAGCAGTTAGAGAGCATGTTAGCTTTCGTGAGCAGAAGGAAAACTTGTTGCTAGTTCCTCGATCAGCGAAGGGATAAATGCTGTCGAAACGCTATAACATAGAGTCGTACCTGCGGTCGATAGTTCTTTACATGAGGCTCGTTTTTAGTGAGTTTCATCACTCCATTGAATGCGTGTTTATATGTGGTTGCAGTAGTGGACGTTCCCCAGTTGACGTCTGAAACTGATTTAAATGAGAACTTGGTTGTCTTATTGTATACTCGAAATCCCTGAGATCGGGTAGGCGTGGCCGCATGTTTCAACTTAACCTGAAGGTGTCTATGCTTCTGGTGAGATATTTTCATCTTGACACAATTGTTGTCGTGTCTCTGTCCAACACAGAACAAGATGACAGTTGTCCCAGACTGGAATATTCCACGAGTAA